TGGTTCAGGCACTGCCCTCTCAATAACCCCAATAGCAGGAATGCACCCAAGGAAGACGGGGGGGCTTCCCTGCTCCCTCGCTGATCCAGGTGGGGAGGGAGACCCAGAACAGGGCCTCCACTGCTGGACAAGGAGTCCACACCAGGCAACAGGCCAAGCGGACCCCTGCGCCACCTACTCACCCACTCTCAGTCCTCTTGACACAGGAGGCCTGGTGTGAGTGGTTGGCCAGGGTAGACAGTCTGGGCAGGGCAGGGGCTGTGGAAGGGCCACAGCTAGGTCACAAACCTCTGCTCTTGGGGGCAGGTAGAAGATCAGGGCTATGTTGTGTCCATCTAAATTGCTCAGCTTCTCATTAATCTATTGATACTCCCACCTTCTTCCCCAAAGGGCTTAAGGAGGCCTTCAAATCCAGCAGAAGAGCGCACGAAGTGAGGAGGAGCTGCAAAGGCTCCTGCAGGATCCTGCTCAGGGCTGGCTGTGTTCTGCCTTCCCACCACTGCCCACTGGCAAACTGGGCCACCGGGCTCAGGACAGGCACGGAGAATTAGAGACAGCTGCTCTAGGGCGCCCCTCCACAATGCCTGGCCTGCCCAGGCCCTTCTGAAGATCAGGGGGAGATGGGGGCAGACATGGAAGACATGTCTGGAAGACATGGGCAGGTCTCTGTGTGGGGCTGGGGTGGGAGGAACGGGGTACCTCCCAGAGCCAGTGGTGCTAGCCAGTGGTACTACAGGACAGGGACCTGGTCACAGGGGCGGGTCTGCTGTGAGGAGGGCGGGCTTCCTGCAGGAGGAGACCTTAGACAGGTGGGTAGGACTCTCCAGGAGACCGGGGCAGCGGGTACAGAGTGGGGGGGGAAGACAGGAGGCACCAAGGGGCAAGCGTGGACAGCTCAGGAAAAATGGGCCTCCACAGGGGAGAGCGCCCAGGTTAAACCAGAGTGGCCACCAGTCGCCTGGCTCAGGGCCCTGGCGCCCCACGCCCCCAGGTCCCCCTGGGCCAGCCACTGAGGTCAGCGCAGGCGGCTTGCGGCCCCACGGCCGGCCCCTCGGGCGGGTCTAATAGCAGGCGACGCTGTCCGCCGCGATCCAAAGTCCCCTTTAAAAGTTTGTCCCTAAACAAAACCCCTCTCTCCGCTCCGCCGTGGGAATAGGAGCCATCCCCGGAGGAGGCTCTGAGGACAGGCGCGGCTACCCTCCTCCACCCCTTCGGAAACAACAATGGGCGACCGGACGAAAGAGAACGAGGGAATCAAGTGTGGAAAATCCCCCAGTCTTGCAATGTCAACTGCTGGGTGCCCGGCCCGCCCGCGGCCGCTGTGCTGCCCCCGCGCGCCCTTCCACGGGACTGCACGCCCGGGAGGGAGGAGCGTCGCGGGTTGATCTCCTGGTTCTCAGATTCTGAGGACGCGTGGCGCGTAGAGAGGGAAAGCTTGCGTTTGGGTTCTGAGGTTATTTTATATTCAAAAGAAATTCCATTTCACTACCAAAGCCGAAATCGTATCGCGGCTTACACTTTCCCGGAGCAGAAGTACAGTGACTTGTTTTTATTTGATCATCGCTTCCTACCACTAGCCGTGTTCTTTTCTTCTTCTTCAACATTAAGTCAGAGATCATACATTAAAGAATTTATGAAGTGGATATTCAGAGAACAAAGATAGTCACAGCAGAAGAGCTGCAATTGCTTTTCTCTGAACTCTGAAAATACTCAGGGCTGGGCGCTGCCTCCTGCAAACAATTAGCCTTCCTATACTCACATGCAATCTTAGGACTGTGGGAAACCTTTCGCTTACCCACCAGTCAAAAAGTGAGAAAACGCAGACAGCAAGGGAAGAGGACCTACTGAGTGTCAGGCCCTCAGCTGGGGGACCTCACTTGAAATCCACAACTGCCTTTTAATGTGTGTGTTTCTGCCAATTTGTCAGGGATGACACGGAGGGTTCAACATTCGTGGTAGGTTGAGGAAGCCCCCAGCCTGCAAGGGTTAGCCAGAGTCTGCATTCCATCCTGGTCCCAAATGTTGACTGACTTTTAGGATCAGTGGCTCATCTGACTTGACTTTGAGATATGAGAAAATCACTACAGCCTTGGGGTCTCACAGTGCAAGAGCAGCGCTTAAATCAAAGGGGAAAACTGAGTAAAATCCTGGAGGCAACTAGGAAAATTTTCTTCTTCCTAAGAGAATTCTAGGAATAAAAGATTTCCTGCCTAAATGGGGGGTTCCCTATCAACTCTCCTGGCAAGTACAAAGCTGGATTAAACAGTCTCCCTGGGGGAAGCACCTGGGCCTCAGTTTCCCCATTGGGACAGTGAGATTGTCCCAAGATGAGACCCTAGGCCAGGCACAGATGGGTTCAGTGGCCTTTCAATAAAACTTCAGCTCTCTCTTGAACACTCTGCACCCACATCCCTATCTGGCAGCAGAGACTCATTGGGAGCTGAAGAGCGGCTCCTCTAGACCCTCTCACTGCCCCCATTCAGCCTTGGCATCTGGTCTGGGGGAGCTGAGATGAGTACAGGGGTGAATAAGGGCTGGACTCTGAAGCCAGACAGCCCAGGATCAGAATTTTGACTATTATAAGAGTGAGAGGAGCTTGGCCCACCCTGTGGCCTCCCTGCTGGGCCCAGAATTTCAGGCCTCAAGTGATGAGGGTGCCCTTGGGGCAGGCTTTTGCTCAAGCTTTATCCACCCTGCTGTTGTGGGTCAAACAAAAGTAGCGCCCGGAGAGAGGAGACCACCAGTCGGCCATGTGACCCTCTGTTCACCCTTCTGAACCTCAGTTTTCTATTCTGTGAAATGGGTATTACAGTCTACTCCACAGGCTTGCCAATGGGATTGGAAATGACACACCTACAGGGCCTAGTACCCAGCAGTTGTGGATAAAGAGCAGCCTCAGTTATGATTTACTACTTGGTAGAGGATTGTCACCTGGGTAAGGCTGCCTAGTGGTTGGACCCAGGGCGGTTCTGCCCTCCATGGCTGAGCTGCTGCCTTTAGGCCCATGAAGGGAGACTCCTCAGGCCCCAGCCAAAAAAAAAAAGGGGGGGGGAGGGGTATCAAGTAACTACAGGCAGAGGCAGGTACCTCCAGGCATACCACTGTGCCAGCCCTCACTCCTGGCAAAAATGAATCATTACTGGAAGGTCGGGCCAAAATGCCCCCTGTGGCCTCCCTGGGCCACGGTCGGTTAAAGCAGCTTCAGTGTGGGCAGGGGCTTTGGGCCCCTGGGTCACACCCGGACTCCCCAGCTCACCCCCAGCAGCTCTAGGTCACTCTGCATTGTGTTCAGGGTGCTGCACGGGGCTGTTCAGAGCTGATGTTCCTTCAGCTCCTCTTGAAAACTAAATGCTCCCCTCTTTGTCGGGTTTTGGGGTGTTGGTGGTTATGTTTCCAGTTCTCTGGGTTTGCTTCCAAGAGGGCTTTCTGGTGTGATTTATTTTTTAAAAGTTAATTGCGGTATAATTGACACAACAAGCCCTTATCACCCCTCTCCTCCCATCCCCCCGCCCGGGCATGCTTTCAGGACCCCCACAGAAGGAAACCAGGGGAGCCCCCTGCAGGGGCTGATGGGAGCATTTGAGCCCATCCCAAGTGCTATTCTGGCAGGTCATTTCACCTCTCAATGGAGGTGCCACAGCCTCTGAACACAGTCAAGGGCCAGGGCCCTGCGCTTGGAGCGTGGCCTACCCTTTGGGGTTTCTGCAAGGGCCAGGTGGGGGGCCTTCTGTTGAGCAGCCGGCACCTGGCCCAAGCTGGAAGGCGTAAGCAGGCGGTGGGCGACAGGGCACGGAAGCCCGAAGCACCCACGACGGCGCCACCGAAAACAGCACAGGCCCAGGGCTGCCAGACCCTCTGACCGACCTACCAAAGCTCGAAGTTGGAAATTTTTTGTGGACTTCCGCGATTTTAAATATTGGCCCAACTCTTTATAACTTTTTCATTGGGGTTATAATAAACATGGAAAAGAAAAATGCATACTGGCTCCTTTCAAAGAAGAAGGTGGACTGCGTAAAGCTGGGCCCAAGGCCTCTGCGGACACCTCAGTATCTCTCCAAGGGGAGCTCCGGATCCTTGTCCCAAAGCCGTGGGGCAGAGGCATACCGATCGAGGCCGCGCGCCCCGGGCTCTGCGCCCCCAGCCCTCCCTTCTCTTCCCCTCGCCCGGGCCCCACCGCCCCCAGATCCCACCAATCGCAGCCCGCTCCTTTCGCATTTGGAACTTCAGAGCGCCCAGCGTGCAAGGTCAGTAGCTTTCCTCCGGAGAAGCGCGGAAGTGGGTATTCCATCAGCAGCCGGGACTTGGGGGGAGGGGGACCCAGGCGCCAGGGGTGCTGGTTGCTGCGCTCCCCGAGCTCTAGCCCAGAAGGGCCGCCGGCACCCCTGTTCCCCAATTCCCCAGTCGCTCCCCTCCCCGACTCTCGGACAGGAACCAGTTTCCAGTCGGCAGCGGCCCGCCTCGGAGCGCTCTGGCCGCGGCCAGGGACCCGGGTCCTGGAGCCCAGCACCCGCCTGAGGCCCCGCGAGCTCCAGGGGGCGGAGCCGAGGATCGGCGCGGG